GGTCCTCGCCGCCGCCGCCGCCGCCGCGGCCGCGGCCCAGGCGGCGCCCCCCACTTACTACCACCCTGCGGCCCCCGCGCCCCCGCCCCCGCCGCCCGCCCAGGATCCCGTCCAGCCGGACCGACCCATCGGTTACGGGGCCTTCGGCGTCGTCTGGTAAGTGAAGCTACACGCGAATCTCCTCTATACCGATACTTATTCTCTCTCTTCCACTTTCGACCCGCCTTCGCGCCTACTCCTATATCCTATCCTTTTCCGGAGCGAGCAGCTGATTGCGCGCAAAACAGAGTCGCTCGCTCCGCTGAAATTTGCAAGTCTTAACACATTGCCTGCCTGCCACGTTTGTACATGAATGAATTTTCCTTACGTTACATTTTTTACATCTGCTGCGTCATTCAAATGCGAGTGACACCGAACTTTCGCAAGTCCCGTCCTTCGACGGCAAAAAAAAAAGAGATTTTATGACAAAAATGTGAATTGTGAAAGACTCTTTTTCGACTTCCTCGCGGTTTTTCGCGGAATTAAGTGTCATTCATGTTACGTGGCAGTTTTAATAGGTGTTTCGGAAAGAGAACGAAATCTGGCTCTGCAACTGACGTTAGATGTAAGCTGATTATAAAGAGTTAATTGATAATATTCTTCTAAAGCTGTGGCAGCATTGACGGTAAACAATGTTTGCCAAATGAGAGTCAAGTAAATTCGTCGAAAGCCTGCATTAATTAGTTGTATATATCAGAATGGACGAGCTCGGAGAATGTGCACGGGAGGAGAGAGTGAAATTTTCAGCGAATAAATGATGCAAGCTTTTCGCGGTTAATTTATGACATTAATTTTTGCTGATTAATACAACAATGCACACGTATATAAACCGTGCACACACAAATGTACGTACCACAATCGCACAATCGTATATATACAGTTCGTTTCTTTGGTAGATTTTGCGGAAGTCGCGCGTGTTTTTCTTTTTCGCGAAAAGGTATACCTATCTTTACATTTGACTCCAACTCCCTCCACTTCTTTCTCCCCCCTTCCCCTCGAATGTACTCCGGCAGGTAAAATCCTGGAAAATCGGTCATTTCGCATCTTTATCGCTCTATCCGGTCGTTTCCGGTGCCCGCGGAAAAAATTTTCGTCGCTGTCGTTAGCCACCACGAATGCGCAGCGTATTTAGATAGCGTTATCGCTCTAGCGAAGCCTCCGGGCGCGCGCGCGCGCGCGCTTAAACGATGTCCCGGTAGAAAGTGGAGCGACGAGTTGCGGCAATCTCGCGATCACCCGCGCCGCGCGCGAGGTGTATTCCCGCTAGGTGAGAGCGAACCTCGTAGGAAACTCGTTTGCCCTTTTCGACGCTTAGCAAGAGCCTCCCCCTCCCCGGCTACCGTTTTTTTTCTTCCCCTTCCGCCCGTCGTCAGGCAACAAACGAAAACACTCGCGTGAAAAAGTCACGGTCGCAGCGTCGTCGAGTGCGCGACTCGAGCTCGTCTCGGCGTCTGAAAAGCGTATACGATCCCTCCGCCTCTTCCCCCCTCCCCTTTCCTTCTCTCTTTCTCACGGGAGAATGGCAATAAATCACGCTCCAAGCGCGGTCGAAACGGCGAAGCTCGAAAACGTCGCTCGAAAACGTTTCTCGTTAAGATTAACGCTGTACGTAATCGGATAAGCGTAATTGTATTATAGATACATTATATGCACATTTTGCGGAACATATTTATTTCTGATAACGCGTAATGTACGTGTAAAATATATAGATACGCGGCAGTATGTAAATTTTTATCTATTATATACGTACGCTTGCATATTCACGTTTGGATAACACGAAAATTATTCTATTATGTTATATTCTGTTACGGTCCATTATATCTCTCGCGCGCGTGGCTCCCGGCCTGCAACTTTTCAACGCGGAAGGAGAGAGTTATGACGTATGTTTAATTTTTTTTCCTATTGGATCTCGCTAAAATAAAAATAAAAAAGAAAAAGGTCAAAAGTCAAACGTCCTATTTTTTTTTCCTTCGCTGATTATTTGCTAAAGGTGTGTGTTAAAAAATGTAAAATACGCGCGCGGGACAAAAGGAGCAACGTCGATAACGTCGGATATTCCAATATTGGCACTTTATAACGAATGAATTAAATTCGCAGCTCTCTTTCGCCGCGGCATGAGAAAATCGGACGATGAAAAAAAAAAAGAGAATCCACGCTATAACAATATTTGTGTAACGACACTGTCTATATTTATCGTATACGCCCGGCGTATATTTACGGCGGCGTTTTTTCCGCTCCCTCTCCCCCGCCACCCTCTCTCCTCCCTCCCCTCGCTTGTCCCCGGCGGAAAATATCATGACTTTTCCCGCGCTTTCCACGATGCGTTTCGCGAAAGTGCCCCGATAGTCCTCTGTCTATAGCTTTTCCAACGTCGCGACGCGCGACGCCTCAGATTTACTATTTTTGTCACAGCGAAACCGATGAAGTTCTAACATCTGACTTCTGCGGGGAAACGATGTATCGTTCGCGTGAAGTCGTTTACTTGATTTATCTATCTTTAAGCAGCACCTCGCGCCCCCTCCACTCGATCTTTCCTCCGAGGATGTTACGAGGTGTTCGTTTTAAAGTGCCTTATACCTGGTAGGACATCGTAATGTAGGAAATGTCTCTAAATTGACAGCGGGCTGCATTGACTGCATTGTTCTGTATATAGGAAGTGTTTCTACATTGACACTGCGTTTACTTCGTTCTTGTGTAGGAAGTGTTTCTATAACATCGACGTTAGACAATGCGCGCATCCTTTGATAATTTCAGAATCGAGCTTTGTGTTCGCCTAA